GGCATGCCAGCTTCTGGGACCGGTAGGGTTAAATCCTCCAGTTGGTCAAAAGACCACATTCTCCAAAGAGCCTTCGCCCACTGCTAGTGCAGTTGTGGAGAAGGGGAAGGAGAATGGCTAGTTGCTGCAGATCCGGCGGGCAGGCCAGAAGGAAGTTACCAGACAGCAGGTCCTCAGTCCCCTGAAGCCCCAATGGACGAAAGGCACTAACAGCCCCACTCCCTCTGGCAACATTAAGGGGGATTGGATACTCCGGCCTCCGAAATGTCTTTCAAGGACAAGCAAAAAAAGTATGACCCAGGATTTCTGAAAACCGAAAAAAATTAAGGAGCTAAAAAAGAAATTAGATAATCAGCAATCCCAAAATTCAACTCCTTCCGCGTCTTCCAGCCAGTCCATCCCCTCTCTTAAAAACGACCCTCTCCCAGATAACTCCATCCAATTCGCGTCCCCTCAGTCGAGATCCTAGCCCTTATAGACACAGATCCTTCTTGTCCCCGTTAAACACACCTACCCCTTCCCCTGTTAAACAAAAACCCGTTAGCACACCTCTACATACTCCCAGTCATTCCCCGCTTAAATGCCACCCCCTGCTTCGCAAGCGACAGAGAAAAATTAAAATCACAAGAAGGAAAAGAAAAAAAAAAAAAAAAAAAAAGTCAATTGCCTATTTATAATACAGGAGAAAATGTCTGTCGTATTTCTCCTGCCCAGGCCGAGAGAGCCAGGGACTAGTCTTAAACCGCATTAAAGACTTGAAGTATTTGCTATCAAAAAATGTTTTCTGAGGACCAGGACATTGAATTGCCCCAAAATTTTTAGGAACGCGGATAAGAGTTCTCACGGTGATCAGAACGGGAACCGTGACTACAAACCGATTTGGGCTATGCTTTTGAGGAGGCCATCAATTCTTGGTCTGAATGACATTCGATGCCAATCGCAATCACCCAAAATGAACAGCTTAAAAATTTAAAACAATCTGGGATGCGTTGAAGCAGGTTGGCCTGGATAAGTCTCCGGGACTAGATGGTCTTCCCTACGAAGTGTACTTGAGGCTGTCGCCCATTTTTTGTTCCTTTGCTGCAGCTGATTTTCAACCACTGGATGAGGCAGGGTCTTTACCTCAACGCTTCACCAGGGGTGTGATCAAGTTGCTGCGTAAGGACAAGAACGGTGGGGATGGGTTAGGGAACTTTCGCCCTTTAACGATGTTAAATACGGACTTAAAGATTTTGGCGACGATCTTAGCCAACCGTTTGCAGCTTGTCCTGTCTCGTCTGATTGGCCCCGAACAGACTTGTGCTGTGAAGGGCAGGACGATTCAGGATAACCTTCATATGGTACGCTTGATCTTAGAACAAGTCGACAGTGAAGCCGCGCTGATCAATTTGGATCAGTCCAAGGCCTTCGATAGGGTTGACCATCGGTTTCTGAGGCTGTACTTTCGGCGGCCGGTTTCGGAGCCGACTTTCGCTCCTGGATCCGACTCTTGTATGCGACCCCGGTGCGCTGGTGGAAGTGAATGGGGTAAGATCGAAGCCTTTCGTATTGTCTCGCTCCATTCGTCAAGGTTGTCCGCTATCGCCTATGCTTTACGTTCTTGCGTTGGAACCATTCCTTCGCAAGTTAAAGGCGAATCCGGTCCTACGCGGAATTTCGCTGCCTGGCGCTTCCACCTCGGCCAGGTATTCAGCCTATGCTGACGACGTTTCGGTTCTTGTGTCGAGCAGAGCCGAGATTAACGAGCAAAGAAATCAGTGGGTATGAGATGGTGACAGGGGCCAAGATCAACCGCGATAAGTCTGTGGGCTTGCGGTTGGGTGCGTGGAAGGGAGTTTCTCTTCCCGACCTTTCCTCTGGACGGATGGGCCGATCAAGATACTCGGCGTCTGGTTCGGTCCTGATCTCCAGTTGGAAATGAACTGGTCGGAGGTACAAGGGAAGGCCGAGGTCGCGGTTAATCTGTGGTCTCGGAGGAGACTTTCCCTGAAGGGAAGGGCGGAAGTATGTGTTTCACACATCTATCCGATTCTCCCTGTACCGACTCTCTGTGCTTCCCACTCCTGTATGCCCGACTAATGTCATTAGTCCGGACCTTGTTCTCTTTCTTGTGGAAGGCAAGGCCCCTATGGTATCTCGCGAGGTCTGTTGCCTTCATCCCTCTGAGGGCGGTCTGGGTATGCCTAGCATTGAGATTCGTCAATATATGCTTCGCATTACCTTTCTGGACCGAATGTGTCGTGGGTCGAATGAGGAGGGTGCCTTTTGGAAAGAAGACGTCCAGAAACATTTCCCGTCCCTGAAAAGTGTGCACTCATGCGAAGAAGAGGCCAGCCGTACACCACGTGCCGAGTGCTCCTTCTATCGTGAATGTCGTCGCGCTCTGAAGCTCCTCTTACGGGCTTCGGATGGTCTCTCCAACGCCCAGGCGTTGTCTCGTAAGGCATTATATCAAGTTTTAGTTAGGGGGCCGCACAAGATGATCTAATTGGCGAGCTCGGTCTTACGAAGCAGGAGGCTCGCTCGATATGGCCTTGGCGCCTGGGTTGAAATGCCTCAATAACGATGAGGCATCACTCACCTGGCTGGTGATTCGTGAAGCCCTCTGGGTCGGCAAGAGACTTTGTGCAGCAGGCTTGGAGAAATATCCAAACTGTCGTCGCTGTACTGGGGAAGGTCGAGACCGTTGGTCACGCCTTTTTTCAGGTGCGAGGCGGTAGTGCCGTTGTGCAAGTTTGTTGAAGGCCTCATGGTTCGCATGTTGCACGGAAAGTTTTTTGTCCTTGAAGCCAGTTCTGTTTGTAGCAATGTGGTGCCGCAATTGACGAAGGCTGAACACTATGTGTTCTGTTGCTTACTAGGGGTTATGAGAGTCGTGATTTGGACGACGCGTCAGAAGGGATTCCATGAGGGCGAGAAGTTCACCTCTTCCCAACTGATCTTGTTCTTTAAGCATCAGCTTAAAGTCAAGATTAGGACGGAAAAGGCGGCGGCTCACCTCATCGGAATTCAGCAAAAGGTGGGTGAATCTTGCGCGTTTGTGCCGAGTAAAAGGGGCTGACTTGGGTGGCATTTTGATGTCGGTTAGGCATCAGGATATTGTTTTCCTGGGTTGAACATAGGCAACCCATCCCGAAATTAGGTTAGATTAGGTTTTTGTATTTTTCTTTTTTAGTTTTTTTTTCCTGTTCTGGTAAACTTAGCTAGGGTGTGTTTGCTCATTGGTCCCCTTTTATTTCTGTCCCCCACTTTTTTTTTCCTTTGGTTTAACTCCCCGTCCCTCCCTCGTTTTTTTAGGTGGTCAGTGATGTCAGTTCTCTGGTGGATGCGGGGCGCCTTTCGTTTCGTGTGTGTGTTTTTCGTATTTGTTGTTGTGTATGGATGAGTGAGTGCTTGTGTGAGTGCTTGACGGTTTAAATGTGTCCTTATTTTTATAGTCTCGCATCGATTTCGTCCAGTTAACTGATATTTCTGCCACATTCAAAGTTTGTGGTGGGTTTATTACTAACACTAATTTTATTTGTTTTCTTGTAAATATATTTTGACATTTTTGTATATATTCATTGGGGATTTATTTTAAAGTTGTTGTTTTTATGCCCCTCCCCCACAGACAATATTTTGTACATAAAGGGGTTATTTAGGTTTTTTCATTGAGTCAAGAGGCATTTTGGTGGATGTAGTAAGAAAGGTATGGATAAATGTGTTGTTTTGGTGATAGGAATATTGTTTAGTATGATAGGGTCAGTGATTGTGGCTAGCTAAGTTTTAATTTAAGACAAGTGATGACCATCCTTTTCCCCAGCCCCCTTTCGGCCTTTGTGCCACATTTGTACATAGTACAATAAATAATGAGAATTTACGACGACCAAATTTGCTAAACGACTTCACGACGCTTGAATCATTACTGCAGCGAAGTACAAAGTTGGAACCTAAAGTTCTTTAACATGAAATAACTTCACTGAAAATCAAGCTACAATTTCAACGAAACATCTCACTCACCAACTTGTAAAATTTTATATTCTTATTCAATTACGTTATTGAATCAGACGAACTTTAATTACAAACAATTACGAACAATACATTTAAAAACTACGAGCAACGAAAACAAACGGAACATTCACTTCTCCAACTTCTTTAAAGCTAAAAGTTTATTAACATATTTTCAGCTTTATAAGATTATCTTTCAGTGAACATTTTGAACTACAAGTTAATTCAGTTTTTGTGAGCTCGGATAAAAAAATGGCTTTTAATTAGTAAAAACATTAGCCCAGTCAAAGGGAAGTAACTCTTATTATTGTTATTGTAAAACTGTTGTCATTTATAAATATAAATATTGTTCCTGATTAAGAAAAGTTATTTTCTTGTATTTCTTCTCTTGTTTGCTTTTATTTTCTTGCATTCGTAAAGTAAAAAAATGTGTGGGTTGATTTATTCCGTCAATACCACTACATAAATAGTGACCCCGAATACGAGTGTGCATGAAAAAGTATTGAGCGATATTTTATAAGAGAAGAGACGTACTCAGATTTCAAATTGGCAACTTTGATTTTTGTACCGTCGTTTAAAAAATTTGAATCACAACTTCACCAACTGGTATCCTAATTCCGCGTCGAAGAAATATTAACATTATGGCTGATCAATCTGATGCACACACAGAAGCCGCAATAACTGTTAATTTGCCAGCTTACAACAATGTCAATGTTCAAGTTTGGTTCGCACAGTTAACTGCTATATTCAACGCCAAAAGGATAACTTCCCAAACTTCCCGATATGCCTACGTTGTGGAGAAGCTACCGGCGGAGGTAGCGATTGAGGTTTCGGATCTCCTGGATGAGATGCCATCTGATAAGCCTTATGATACCGTAAAAGAAGCTATACTCCATAGAACTGGTCAATCTGAGGAACAAAAGCTGCGTGACCTCCTCAATAACTTGAGCTTGGGACAAAGTAAACCGTCACAACTACTGCGTAAAATGCGGGTACTATTAGGAAGCAACCCAATGTCTGACACAGTGTTAAGACAGCTTTGGCTGGACAAACTTCACGTGAACACCATCCAAATTTTGGCTTCCCTCCCAGACGAAATTGAAATACAAAAACTAGCTGAAATAGCTGATAAAATAGCTGATGACCAGCCAGCTAGTCCTGTGTATGCTGCGACCCAGAGACAGCCAGTAGCATCGGTGGTTGACGCAGACGACATGCGTAAACTCAGTGACAGGTTAGCACAACTGTCAATTCAGGTTCGGGATATTCAGAAGTCTATGCAACAGCAGAAATGCAACTTCACTAATCGAACTCCTCCTGAATTACGACGACGTAGACACAGATCGTTGTCACGAAATAGGGAAAACTATCAGGACAACGTATGTTGTTATCATGCTAACTTTTGGCCTGCACATAAATGCCGTAAACCTTGCAGGTTTAGCGCAATTTATTTGGCAGAAGATCGACACAGCAAGCGGGAAACGACGTTCCCGGCAGCAAGTGAAGACGGCGTTCGCTACCGGGAAAAAAATATTAACCGTCTTTTTATGTTAAGGACGCCAATTCTGGTTACCTATTCTTGGTTGACACGGGCGCACAGGTTAGTGTGATTCCGCCTACAACAAACATGGCGACCAAAGCTACGTCATACAACCTCCAAGCTGACAACGGTTCTCGAATAGAAACCTATGGTGAAAAATCACTTACATTAAACTTGGGATTACGTAGATCGTTCACTTGGTATTTACCATCGCGCAAGTAAAGTCACCTATTCTAGGAGCTGATTTCCTAGCCCATTTTAAACTCAACGTGAACATGTCTTCCCGATCCTTAGAAGATAAATATACCGATATTTCAATTAAGGGAATTACTTCAAAATTGACAACGGCAGGTATCAGTACAGCCCTACCTACTGCCAACGGTCTTCAACATTTATTACGGAAATATCCAGAAATTCTGACACCGTTCAACTATATGGAACCAATCTTACACAATGCGGAACACAGGATACAGACGACTGGTCTTCCCGTGCATTCATCTCCGCGGCGTTTACATCCTGATAAATATAAAAATTTATGCTAAGATTGAGTTTCAGCATCTGTTGGACTGGATGATGGACGGATTATCCCTAAGTCTTAGGGATAATCCGTCCATCATCCAGCCCATACGCTTCTCCTTTGCATATGGTGTCGAAATCGGAAGCTGGAGCTTGGAGACCATGCGGTGATTTTCGAGACAATGCTCAAACAGTCCCGGACAAATATCCGATCCCGCATCTACAAGATTTTGCAATCACGTTACAAGGAGCGTCAATTTTACGAAGTTGGACTTGAGAAAGGCTTTTCATCAAATCCCTGTGGCAAAAAGACGACATCCACAAAACTGCTGTGACTACACCGTTCGGTTTATTCGAGTTTACTAGAATGCCCTTCGGTCTGAAAAATGCAGCGCAGTCCTTCCAGCGACTTATAGACGAAAATACTGCGTGGCTTGCATTTCACATTCGCCTATATTGACGATGTTCTGATTGCGAGTAGGAACATCGAAGAACACCCCACCGATCACGTGGAACAGGTTTTCCGGCGATTGAAGCACTTCGGACTTAAAATTAATCCTACTAAGTGTGAATTTGCTGTACCAAAATGATCTTTCTTGGTCATGAAATAGATGGGAAAGGCATTACACCGTCTCTCAAAAGGTTGAAGCTATTCAAAATTTCCCACAACCAACTACACTGCGACAGCTACGTAGATTTCTCGGTTTAGTAAACTATTACAGGCAATTCATACCTCATTGTTCGCAAGTGCTGATTCCGTTGACAAACCTGTTACAAAATCAAAAAAAGAAGAACAGCAAGATTATTCTGACTGACTTTCAGCATTTAATAATGCCAAGGAAGCCCTAGCTAATTATACCAAATTATCTTACGTTTCGGATAGTGAAGAAGACACTTTCTCTTACTACTGACGCATCTGCTGATAGTGTAGGAGCCGTATTACACCAGGAGAGTGATAACGTGAAGAAACCACTTTCATTCTTTTCCGTGAAATTGAATTCAGCACAACGCAAATATAGTGCTTTTTACGTGAACTACTTGCTATATATCTATCTGTTCGTCATTTCCGACATCTGTTAGAGGGCAGGAATTTTATAATTTTCACTGACCATAAACCTTTAGTGTATGCCTTGCACTCTAAAACAGATAAATATAACCCTCGTGACATAAGACAGCTGGACTACATCGCACAGTTTACGTCCGATATTCGTCACATTAACGGGAACGACAACATCGTTGCTGACACCCTTTCTAGAGCTACAATGAATTCCGTCAAGTTGCAACCATTAGATTTTGAATGCTTAGCCAGAGAACAGCAGAGGGATGCCACCCTAGAAAAAAGTGAAAAGTGACACGTCACTGCGCATTGAGCAACGACCAATTCCTTTCAGTGCGGCATACTTGTTTTGTGACGTTAGCACTAAACACCCTAGACCCTACGTGCCCCTATTATGCGCAGACAAATTTTCGACCATTTTCATTCTATGTCTCATCCCGGCCGTAAAGCGTCAACGAAACTTATTTCTGAACGATTTGTCTGGCCAAACATGTCTGCAGACATAAAACACTGGACGCATACATGTATTAAATGCCAGAAGTCGAAAGTTCAACAACACACCAGATCTCCTCCTGGTCACTTTTCTGCACCGGATGGTCGATTTAAACATATTCACGTCGACCTCGTCGGTCCCTTAATGGAAGTAGACGGATACGAATACTTGTTGACAATAGTGGACCGTTTCACACGTTGGCCTGTGGTGGTACCCCTGCGATCAACCACCGCCAGTGTTATCGCACAAACAATCTTACGTGGTGGATAGCCACATTTGGATGCCCCTCTGTCATTACTACAGATCGTGGACCCCAATTCCAGTCTACCCTCTTCGCTGAATTTACTAACCTGTTGGGTACTAAACATATAACAACTACAGCTTACCATCCGTGCGCAAACGGTTTGGTAGAAAAAGGTTTCTGAGCAACTAAAAGCAGCACTTACAGCTAGCGAAGACACGATCGTGGATTGAGAGATTACCACTAGTAATGCTAGCACTACGTAGTGTTGTCAAGAAGATTTAAAATGCACCACAGCTGAGCTTGTTTTTGGGAGCCCACTACACTCCCCGGTCAAATGATGGAAAAATGTGTCGACAAGACCATCTACATACTTCATTCAGGACTTGAAAGAACGTATGTCTAACCTCGTATTTACCCCAACGCGCATTTCAGACAGAGCAATTTTCATACCGAAAACTTTGGAAAACTGTGAGTTTGTATTTCTACGCAGAGATGCAGTTAAAAACCTCTCACACCGACATATTCCTGGTCCTTTGCAAGTTATTTCCCGTGCACCGAAATATTTTACCATCTTAATCAATAATAAGACAAACACTGTCAGAATTGACAGGTTGAAACCTTTTCATTGATGCCGATAAGCATTCTTCGACCTCGTTTGATCAAAAATTCTTCCGCCCAGCAGAAGGATATTCAACCTGAAACTCCTCCGACAAAAACTACAACTAGAGCAGGCAGACATGTTCATTGGCCTACAAAATTTGCGAAGCATCATACATATTGAAATTTTTTTTTTTTCTTTTCAAACTTTCAATTTGGGGTGGAGTATTTTAACTGTCCGCTACCACTTTTTCACAAATGTCGATTTTTGTGCAAAGAGCGGATCACATCTTCATGAATGTTTCTGAAGACCTAAACTTCTCATTGGATAATAAATATTAAATTTATCTTTACGTGTATTGTTCTCAATAAGCGACACAAAACATATCAGGCTCTAGACTGAGTTTTGTAAGGCGCTTTCTGAGGGTTAACAGATGTTAAAAAACAATTTACCTGCTCACCACTACGTCCGAACAACGTCAACCTAGTTTTGACCTGACGAAAAAACAATGCCTTCGGAGCCTGTAACGTGGTTGAAGGAACATATAAGTTGAAGGTACAAGCAGACCCAGTCAGTGAGGATTTACGACTTTCTTGTCTGACCGTTTATTCTGTCTTTAGGAGGATTACTTTTGAACTTTTGACTGCCTTTATTTAGTTAAGTTTTGATTTATTTTTCTTTTTTCTAACGTTATTTTTTTGACTTTTGTTAAATTTGTCATTTTCTAACGTTCTTATTTTGACCATTTGTTTTTTCCTTTTCATTTCCTTTCCTCTTATTTACCGTTACTTCATTTTGTTATTAATTATTTCTTTTTTAATTTTTATTTTCTATTACGTTTTACTTTTTCCTTGTTAAATCTATTTTCTTCAGTGCCCACACCCCGGAGTTTATCTGTTTATTTTCGTTTCTCGTCCGACCTTTTTTATTTAATTGTTTATTTATTACGTGTTAATTATTTCTGTGTTTTTTATTTTTACCCGTTAAAAAGTCAACGTTTTATCTGTTAATTACGTGTATATAATATTTGTTTTTTAATTTTGTGTTTTATTTGTAATTTCTCTCCTCCTCTTTTTCCCCTTATTTGACGTTTTTCGTTGTTGGGTTGACCGTTTTTTTTTCGGCAGCCATATTGTAAATTTTACATTTTTAGTTTCGTACTTTATTTTTGTATAGCGTTTTCTCGTATTTTTCCGTTTATAACTATTAGTTTTATTGTGTAATTTGTGGCTTTCTTGTCTGTTGTCCTTTAATTTTTGTTCTTTTCGTCTTTTTTTTGAACCTTGTTCACATTTTCTCAATCTAAACATTTGTTTTGCGTTTTTCGTTTTTTACCTGTTTACATTTGTGTTTTTTATAATTTTTTGCACACGTCCTTCTGTTTTACTTTCGTCTGTTGATCTCTGTTAAATTAAATTGTTGTCTTGCTGATAAGCAAAACTTTATTTTTACCCTCCCCTTTAATTTTTTTTTCTCCCTCCCTCCGCCTATAAGGCGGTTCCCCCCCCCCATTTACCCCTCCCCTTCCCTCTTATTATTTAAAAAAAATGGAAAAAAAAACACCTTCCTTTTTAGCAATTAAAAAAAAATGAATTTATCGGATTATAAAAGACGATACGTAAGCATCTATTTAACCCTAGCAAAAAGGACCCCCCGGACAAAGACAATTTAAATGAATTTCCTGCTCTTGAGACCACTTCCCCTAGCAACGTTGAAACCGCTGGGAAAAAAAGAAAAAAAAAAATTAATACTACGGAAGCCAATAAAGGCAATAACAAGGAAAAAAAAAAAACCTATGGAGGCCAATAATGGCCAAAATTCTGAAAAAGTTGAAGAAACCGGAAATGAACCGCAAGTTAAGCCTGAGGCCGGGGAATCGCCCTCTTGTTGGTCGTCCCCACCAAAGTGCGTAATCAATTTAGCGGAGTTCTTGGAGCGTGCCAAGAGTTACGCCCACCTTGTTGTAGAAGGTGGACTCTTGGAAGACCCCCAAGAATTAAAGAAAATTGAAAAAAATTAATGTCAGTTTTCGTCGTGGACAAGCGTACGCGCAAAATTTGTCGCTCGACGAAAACACAGTGTTGAAAGCACTAGAATCCTTCGGGTTCAAGCCCCCTTAGAATAGGTAAAGGAGCTAAATTTTTCATGTGGGACGTACTGTT